TGCAAATCACCCACCAAATTTCACATTCTTCCCAAAACTCCCCCTTGCCCCATTAAAAACACTTCTGGCCAACACTCACTCACATTAAGAACAATTCTAGGCACCCAAATTCTAGAATAAACGTGGCATCTAGCGAAAACTCACTCAAATTAAGAACAATTCTGAGCACCCAAATTCTGATCAACAAAATTAGTTTTAATTAATCAATCAACAACAAGGAAGTGAAATAAGATTACATCTGGCCCAGTAAAGATGGCAAGGGCCAACAGACTATTAACTTCCAAATTCTAAACCCAATTAATTCATTTATTCAGAAAATGCTTTCCTCCTCAAACCAGTCATCTTCTTCAATGTCTAGACGGGTTGAAAACGACCCAGCTCCAACCCACTCAAATGCACACTTTTCTCCATCGAAACTTAAGTTTAATACCATATAGAGCCTCGAAAATCGATTTTATGGTGAGATATGAATTTATTTTAGAAAATTAAACTTGGAGCCAGGGACCCATTTCCAACAGAGATAGAAAGCAATTTTGGTGAGCAAGTGCTTGGAAATGTAGACACCGAGCATAAGATTTTGATTCCAACTGCTGCCGCTCTCTCTCTTTGGCAACAGCAGTGTACTCCCATCTCTCATCTTCAGCAACCTATGCATGAGATTGAAGCCAAAAACATGTTGTTCAAGGTATAATCTGTATTTCTATCTGTTTTTTCATTACCTATTTTCCATGTCTTTTGATCTAATTTATCTCCATAATAAGAGAATTGGGTGATGGGAATTCTCATAGAGATATTATATGGAAGATTTTTAGACAAGTCTCATTCTTGTTTATTGCGTTATACTTCACCGGGTTTAGTGCATAATGGGTATGTAATACTCAACTTGTGTAGGCTGTTAGCTGGAGACTTGTATATGAAGAAGGGGGCATAAAGCTTCAAGGTCTGTGGAAATTGAGGGATAAGTTTTCCCCAATTGTACTTAATTGTTCTTTTTGAATGGGTGCCCAGAATTTGGATGAGTTTTGGCCAAAATTGTTCTTAATGGGGGGGCAAGGGTGAGTTTTGGGAAGAATGTGAAATTTGGTGGGTAATTTGCATTTTTTAAAAAGTTTGGGCTATTGTTTGGTGGGTTCTTAATTTGTTTTATTTTAGTAAAAGGGTAAAATGGTCAAAAAGAG